AGCCCATTGTTTGGGATGCATGAGTATAGTCAAATGAGAGCAAACTGAAAGACTTGAGAGGCGTGTTCCGAAGAGACGAGGCAGAATGGAGTGTTTAGTGTGGTTACTCTGCGGGTGGGGAAAAAACAAGTTTACGAGTGAGTGAAGTAAATTAGAAACGTTGGTTCAATGCAATAATAAACAAAAAGTGGGGTAAACGATAGCAGTTAGCATCACCAGGGCACCTGTCAATCTGTCACCTCGTGCTTGATATGAATCAACAGGTGTCATAGCAGGCAAAAGTTTGACGGAGGGATAATCAAGATGGATATTCGATTCATCAGCCATCTGTGTCTGAGTGTCAATGACACGTGCGAATATACAGTCTAATATGTCGGTCTTACAATAGGCTCTAGATACATTGCAATATTTTACCACCAAGATCGATATGAATGTTCATCAAGTTAGTTAATATTGATTATCCCAGAAGTAGATAATACTCCCAAAAATGTTCAATGCCATCGAAAGTAAATGCAGTTAGCTGACAAAAATTTGTCGCACGCGACCAAGATGGAAGGAAAGTTTACTGAGCGGGCACAGATTACAGGATGGACGTTAAGAGACTACAAGGAACAGCAGAGCCAATTATGCTCAATTTAAAACTGCACGACAACCTCGTCAACCCACTAGGTGAAGAATAGAGGTACTAATAGTAATACGAACCACAAGGAAGACTATAAAGTGAGCGATCGAGGCTAGAAAAATGACGATAATGTTTTTCTATTTGTTATGGGATCTCATCAGTACTGAAAATAGCGATAATTTTACCGGTTTCATCATAAACCTAATAATGTGAAATATTTGAACATTGATTCCAAATCAACTGCTTACAGGCGTGCAGTTTCATATAAACCGAAATGAAAGTGACATACTTTGTACTGAAGGTACAAGACACGTCTATTACTTGCAGATCAATTCCCTTATTTCATTTGTGTTCGGATGAAACAGATTTTGACGAACGAAGGTTAACACTGAGTTGTAAATTCACAGATGAAAGCTCCCCTGCAAGGAGCGCTCTAACGAAAAGCTTCGATATGAATGCACGCTTTCATATTATGCTCGCTGTATGTGAAAACGTCTCAAATATTTGGGGAACAAAAACCTACCGTTGGTCGGACGGAGAGATGACTTGCTAGACATATTACTCCGGGTCGCGTAGTTACTTCGCGATCGAGTTGGGTTTTTCCTAGAGGTAAGAGTGCTCGTGTCTGGCTGATCATCTACGTCCTGATGCATGGAACGAGAGAGCTGCGAGTTGGATACGTGCCTGGTGGTCTGCGCACGCCTGATTGTATCCGTGTTGATCCCAGTCCCCGGAATTAGAGATCCGGAATTTCCGGTCCCGTTCACTCGGTGTCGAGCGAGTGAATTAGTACGCATATCAATGACAGANCGTGGTCATCAAACTGCGATGTCTTGAGCCAGTCGATAAACGACGTGATGGATCGGTTCGACTGGCAGAGATGTTACCACTAACCGGACGCGTGGATCTGCAAGAGGCGAAAGTGTCATCACCGGAGGAGGGCTGGTGTTCACAATTGCTGTTACTCATCTGCCCAGCACGTTCCAGAACGTAACCCGATGAGGTCAATGATGCGCTGGTGTTGTTATTGGAAACTTCACCGTCCGTGCTGGTGTTGGGAATGTTGGAAAGAGCGAC